CACGGTTACCTTTAGGGGGAATTTGATGAAAACGAACAGACCAACTCCTTTGCACAAGGGCATGGATGTGAACAAAAATAGACACAGTACCTTGACTGATCCGATCAGACTGGAGGAGCCAAAACGTTTGTTGACAATCCAACTCAACCTCAACCTTCCGAATACCTGTCTCCCAAGCACACGATAAACCGACAAAACCCCTATAGCTCTGTTTTCACAGTCGTACATATGCCTATATACTTACGAAAACCAACCATTAATATTCAATCTAATATTTGATCTAATATTCAACCTAATATTCAATCTAATGTTGATAGAATATAATAATTCTATTTTCTTTCAATTATAAAAATAATTATAAAAATAGTTATATATTTCTTATTTATCTAGATATTAAATATCTTTTTTTTATATTATCTATTCTATTATATTATGTGTTATATTTATTCTAATTATCTCTATTTAGACTAAAAATTTTGAATTATCTTCGTATTCGAAATAGAAATGAAATCCATATATTTCATAATGAGAGGCTCATTTCTTTGTTTTTTTGTTTTCATTCATAAAGTTCATAAAGGCGGAAGCTAAGATGAAAAAAAATAATCAATCGTTCGAGTATTCCACCTAATTGCCTGAGAAAACCGAGAGTCAGAGTGACATATATATGTTATGGAATACCCATCCATATTGAATTGCGAATACATAAATGATAAAATATTTTCTTATTGAACCAAATAAAAATAAATATGGGTCTCCAATAGAGAGGAAAGAAACCCCATTACAATCCCGGAGAACCCCATATTATTTTTTATAAAATTATGTTATTTTTTATAAAAATAAATTAACTATTTGTTAAATTAATGTTAATTAATTTTTTTTATCAATATGGACATTATTTTTTTCTTTTTGCATAAAAATTTATAAAAAAATATTTAAAAATACTAAAATATTTAAAATATAAAAAAATTATTTTTTGTTAAAATAAGTACCTAATGTTTTTTATGATGCAACTCTCGCAGAAGGGGAAAAAGACAATAAAAAATAATGTACAGAAAGTGAATAGCTTTTGCCTTTAAAGGGACATCCACTTTCTCCAGGTTTAATAAGCATTTTGTATATTGTTTTTTCAACTTTTATGAGATCGAGTCCCACGGAGAGTATTTCATAATTTGGAGGTCTCTTACGAAAGTTGTTCTTAACCTGATGTTGGGGGTAGTCTACTATCTTACCTCCCCCTTATCCATACATATGGGAAGAAGGGACAGCCATTTTTTTTCAACCTTTATGGAGTATTATTTTTTTTCTTCATTATCAGTCTCAGCTTTATTTTTCTTCTTTTATTTATTTGTTTTTTTCTGGGTAAATAACTTTATTTTTCTCCTTTTACTCCTGATTTTGAGTGAAAAATAGATTCCATAATGTTCGCATCTCAATTATTAAGATACGACGCAACTCTTATAATCTAATTTTCTCTATCAAATGATTCACATTTTAAAAATATAAATATTTTCGTCAAAAATATAATATAGAGATTAAGGTTTGAATATTACATTTATTAAATATCATCTTATAAAAATAAATGCATTACTTAATTATTGAATTAAACCCTAAGTTTATTTTCCACATTCTTTATTATTATCGTATAATCTTCAAGAAAAGGTGAAAAGTTGAAATACAAGGGAAAAGAAGAATCAAAGAAGAGGAGAGAGGCAGTCTTAAATGGAGGCGTCTATCCTTCGAGAAAAAGGGGTTGATCATTTAGATTATAATATGGATTGGTTAAAAATAAGATAAAGGGTTGTGGTATCTAAATATGCACTAATTTCTAAAACCCTAAATCTTTTTAAAAAGCAAAAACGACAAATTCCCTACTTATGCTTAAGGAATTTTAATTTAAAGTTGTCATGACATAATAATCTTTTTGTGATTCTAAAGTAGTAACACCTTTAAGGTTTAAAGAAAGAGATGATGTACGAATAGAGCGATTTCAGTGATAAATAATTGATGTTATTTATTGAGGTCTCGTTCCAGCACCGAAAATGCTGAGGGTGTGAGCATTCATATGAAATGATTAAGAGTTATTTTTAATAAATATTGGCTTGTACTTACCCATATTAATAAAAAAAAGAGAGAGAAATAGATGCTTATCTACAAATATACATTTCAAATTATTATTAGTCTTTCCTTCACTTTATAGATTTTAATTAAGAAACAAATGTTGATTTTAATGCTTTTTTTTTTCATGAGATTTATGTTTTAAGATTGTGAGTTATAAAAAGCAAATAAAAATATCTTGAAAATTGATTCCGAAACATCTTACCAAAAAAATTATAATTTTGAGACAATTTTTTTATATTTAAAAAATAGTTTTATTTTCTTTATTCATCTCTTTTATGAAAATAGTTTGCTTTGTTATTTATCTGCACTTTTTTTTTTTAACTTTCACTTTTAAGAGTAGTAAATTATGATTACTCTGAATTTTGTAATACCACAACTTTCTAATACTTTTCCCCATAGAAGAGAGAATGTTTGGGGTTTGGAAAAAAAGTTAAATTCTTTTAGAAAGCAAAAGGAATAGAAATTAAGCATAAAACGATGTGTTGGTCTCTTTTCTCTTTGCATTTTATTTTTCAAAGTGATGATTTTCCTCCATTCTAATTCTAAGACCCTAAGCACATAAAAGTTGCTTCTCCTTTGCACAACCCATAACGTTTCGGATTATACCCTTAACCTTAATTTTTACTTCATACAATAGCATAAACCGAGTGACATCAATGGTAAAAGAATTGTTGTTATCCCTTGAGGTCCCGAGTTCAAGCACCAAAAATGTCAAGAGTGTGAGTATTCAATGTCAAATGGTTGTAAATTATCTTTGGGCAGATAATGCATTGTACCTAACCTACATTAATCAAAAAAATACTTCGTCCAATAATATACGTATAATATAACTTCTCCACTCATACTATATTTATGAGGAATATACTAATATTCAATTCCATATAAAATTCTACAATAAATGCCATTTATCGATGTGTACCACTAACGTTAGATATCGCTATGCACTACTATTTTTTATATGTTTTAAAAATTTGAGGGATTTAAGTTGCAATTAAACCTTTTCAACATGGAATTTCAATAATAGTGGGATTTTAACCGTCGTTCCGTTTTTCAATCTATTTTGAATTTTAAATATTATTTAAATTAAAAAAGCAGTGTTTATATAAAATTTTAATTATTAATTTAATTTAAAAAACAAATAAAGTTGAGCTTAAATACTCTAAACCTCAATCACTCTATCACTATCTCATGGTGAACACCAAAAATATTGTTTTATTCCATCTCGACAATTATGATTGCATAACGAAAACGATAATAATGAACTTTATGAAGGCCTAATGAAATATTCAATTTAATGTTATAAGTATCGCCACTTGATTCTTGCATTAGTCGAGTTTAATCCAATGCAAACGATGAAAAACTACACATTTATTATCTAAACCATCACTTTTGTTCTGTTTAAGTACTTAACATTTCATTTATTTTATAATCATACCTAACGTTTACTTTTTATTTCATTTAAGTACATCACCGTTAAAAACTCAACGGAACTGATGTACGCGAGTATTTTATAGGTAAATTACATCATTAATCACTCAGTTATCTTCTCGATATTATTTTGGTCATTGAAGTTTGGTTTTTTTTAATTTAATCACTTAACAAGTTACTCTTATTATGATCAATCTAAATTTGTTAATATTTTTATGATGTGACATCTTTTAATTATTATTTTATTACTATATGATTAAAAAAAGGAAGGAACGAGTTGGAGGGGTTGATAAGAGTGATGTCATCAGCGTGGGGTGAGTGGTTTGTGGTTTAGAATTTTTGGTATAATTTTTGGGTTTGAGTATAATTTTAAATTTATTATTTTATTTTAATTATATAATAATAAAATAATAATAAAAATGTCATGTAAAAAAAATATTAATAAAATAAATTAGAATGAAACAAGATTAATTTGAAAGTTGAGTAGTTAAATTAAATTTTTTTTAACTTTTATGACCAAACCAAGAGTGAGAAGATAGTTGAGTGATGATTGATGTAATTTATCTATAAAAATGTTGGACAAGAGTTTTGTTAAATTTTTAACGGTGGGGTATTAAAAAGGAATAAAAAGTAAATATTAAATATGGTTTTGAAAAAAAATAAAAGTTTATGTACTAAAATGGAATAAAAATAATAGATTAGGTACTAAAAGTGAATTTGCCCATCAATTTAACGAGCATGAGCAGTGCGAAACATAAATTATGTATGGAATATTGATTCGCACGAGGCATACACGAATACATTAAGCTTCAGTCGTCCGCCATTATATAAGAGATTAAGGATTATAAAGGATAAACTATACAAAAAAATATTTATGAACTATTTTTTCTTTTGTTATATATTTTTTTGTATTCAAATAATTTAGTGACATTTTAAAGATATTCGAAAAATAAGTATTCTTATTTTAAATTAATATTTTTTCTTTAGTTTAATTAGATGTGTTTAATTTATAGGTCAATTGATCCAAAATAAGTACGGTAAAGGTACATTTTGGAGTAATTCTTTTAATATAATTTGTTTTATTCATAAATTCATAATATCAAAACTCGAATTCTTAATATTATCTCAAAGTTTTAATATCTCATCTTACGAGATAAATTGATTGTTGGTTGTTTTAAATTTAATTTTTTATTAAGTTAAAGTGATTACAAAGTAATATATATTCTAAATATTCTCGACCATTTAACAATTAATCACCAATCATCCTGTTGTAATAGTTAAAACTCGAACCTGTAACCTTTAAGAATAATAACAATTCCTTTAATCGCTTAGGTAAGTTGGTTTCGTGATTTAAATTAAATTTTGATTTATGTTTTAGAGTCTATTTCGGATAAATGAGCAGAAGATGATTAATGAACATATATTTACAGAAACATGATTAGTCCAGTCCTAGGAATGTCTGAGAATCTAAAGACAATTTGAAGAAAGAGAATTTTCATGGAAAAAGAAAAGTTGAGCCCTTGAAGGATCGCAAAGGACTACAGCTCCTGAGTTTTGAAAACGATCCTTCTGTCCACAGATTGAAGAAGCCCAATATCCTGGATTGATTGCTCTTCGAGACTATCATGGTCAAGGGACATATTCAAATCCAATGACACGCAAGGACTTGTAGTCTCCTCCGATCCACCCACTTTATCTTCCTCGAAAGTACCATCCGATTTCAGCTTTGCAGGAGGAGAGCATGCTCTTGATCTCGAGCTGAAGCTTTCGCAGCTCAAAATGACGATAGCATCACTGAGGTCAGCTTCTTCTCCATCTGCTCTGCTTATTCTTCCTCTTTGAATCGCTCTGTGGAAACCCATTTGAGAGAAGTAATCTGATTGCTCAACATCTTCAATGAAGAAGACTCGATGTGGGTTACACGAAACAGCTTCAGCGAATCTCTCAATGTAACTGCAGCTCTGTTCGTCTCTTGATCTCTTGCTTCGACAATCTTCCGTTGAATCCGCTTTCGTAGATGAAAAGCTGCTTAGTTCAATGGAGACGAAGTTGTTTTGTGATCCGAAAACAAGCCTAGCCAACTCTTTACCTATCTTCTCTTTAGCTTGAACGTCGACACCTTGGAAGAAGAACCAAGTTTCTTCTTTAGTCGACTCACCATCAACCAACTTCCATTTTCTTCGTATCATCCCGGACCTGCATTTCAAGATTGTGGTCACGATCTCCGGAACTATATCTTTCTGCCATGGCACCTTGTTTTCCAATGCAGTGCAAAGGGTGGTCAAGTTATCGGCATTCAGCTCCTTGAACTTGTGAACATATTCCATCTCCATCACATCACTGGAACAAGCTGAGTTAGGGCTCGAGGATGGGTGTGGTCTGGGGTCCTTATAATTATGTTCTGCTATATATAATCTCAAAGCACTGGTGGGTTCAACAGTCTGTGTAGGTTCAACCACAGGGCAGTCATGGTGTTGGGGTTCAGCCCAAGTCGACCAGCTCGACCCGTTCCCAACTTTATTGCTTGTGGCCCGACTTTGTAGCTCGCTGAAGAAGAAAAGAGAGAGAGAGAACCAAGAAGTATAAGATTAAAGCCGTAATAACCAGTGTGTATTTATGCAAGGATTATTAGTTTACCTATCAGTGATGAGACTGAAGCGTAAGCTGCCTGCAGGAATCGTTAGAGGATGCAAACCCCAAACAGTTTGCAGTGATGGATGGCCATTTTTGCATCTCATGTAAGTTTGGAAAGTGGCAGACCCCATGAGCTTAAACCTCCCACTCTCCCCAATGTTGGATACCAATAATTTCCCAATCTCCATGATCATATGCTCTACTGGACAGTAATATCCCCTACTTTGCTCACTTGAACTTGCTCTATACTCAATAGCCCATTTGAGGTCACCCAGATTCAAAACAATCCCCTTGCCTAAACAATTCCCAACATGCTTCTTCAACTCTTCAAGTTTTTGCTCGACCTCTACTCTATTTAGATGCCCAAAAGATGAGAAAGAAAGGTTTACGAACTTAATATTTCCTTTATCAGCTTTGTGTATCAGAGCATTAACCACACCTTCAATGCTGGAAATACACTCTCCCACGACCACAAAACTTCTTCTCTTTTCGTTCATCAAATTCTCCATCACGAACATGACATCTTCGTCCCTAATTATCGGATCTGATCCTCTTGGTTTCCCAGTTTTGTTGCTTGCAACTTGAGAAGCAGTATGAGGTTGAGAGAGGGCTAAATCAGCGTTGCTACTTTCCCTAGACTTATTACTGTCTACTGAAGGAGAGTTTTGAGAACAGATTTCTAAGGAAACAGCTTGTTCCACGTTGCTTTTGACTTGCGTACTAGTGAAACCGGCTTCTCTCATGACCCTACTTACGTTAGGATCATCTAGAATCGATATTATAAGCTGCTCCAGCTCTATCTTAACAGCTAGCAGCGGTTGTTGCGGGTTCTCAATGGATCCACGCCTCTGGTGAGCCTGAGCACGCTTGAAGGCGGCAACCAAGGCATTAGAGATGGAAGGGTATTGCCAATAAGTTCCCAACATCGGACTCGAAGCCGAAGCCGGAAGGCGATTGAGGGCGACGTTGAAACAAAGCTCCAAGGCTCGACACTGGAGTGGATGTGCGTGGGATTGAATACAAGCCGTACGGAGAAGACCGGTAGAAGCAGAAAGCATGGTGTTAGCTACATGGAGGGGAGTGACCTGAGCATGGCCACGCCGCCTAGCCAGAGTAACAGCTTGCTTTACCACGTTGGCAGCCTCGTTGGTTAGAGCTTGTTGCACCGTGCAACCCCCGGCTCGCATGTTGTCTCGCCCGAAACCTATTTTCCCACTGGAGTATCAAGTGAAAGGACAGTTGAAACAAAATGATTAGATGAAGGAAAGTTTGAGAAGTTGAAGCTTCATGGAACAAAAAGGGTAGAGGATGGAAATCATGAGAGTGGGTTATGGTATTTAAGAATTAAATAGCAGGAAATAGGAAGTAGTATATTTTTGGGGGTTGGGAGATTTGAGTTGTGTAAGAAGCAGCTAGTGGACTAGATTTGAGAGATTTGGGTGTGGAGATAGCTAGGGCGCTATGCTTTCTTGTAGGCGAGGTTAAATTTTGGGGTCCAAAGTCGATTTTGTAGTGCAAAGTGGAATACATGTGCTGACAAGCATAAAGGATGCAACAATATCAATACAATCACAGATGGATCGAGGAGGAGTGGGTGAAAGTAGTTTATCTTCCAAATTTTCAGATCGATACATATTTTAAGTATTTTCTTTATATTTTTTTATTCATAATTCATCCTATTATAAGTTTGTTTTCCCTGACATAAAATTACGTCCGTCCCTAACACAATAGTGTTTTTACCCTAAAAATGATGAAACCACCTCTAGATCTTTGTCTTCAATATACACAATAGTATATTCATCTTCATTCCTGATCTTGTTGAAGCCTACACTATCTTAGCCTACACAAAAGTATAAATTTATCGTTAATACTTGGTATCATTTTATTTATTTGTTTTTGTTAATGTAAAGAAATATTTTTAAAATTAGAGGTGTTCATTTTTTTGGTATTAATCGAATTAACTGATTGATAATAGAATTAGTTTTGTTAGAGAAATGTTACTTTTTGTCAATATTCAGTTAACGATTAATTTAGTTTGAACTTGATTAATTAACTAAACTAATCAAAAATATTAAATATATTATATATATATAATAAATATACACTCATTTTGAGCTAAAACCATCTAAAATTAAGACTCAACTATTCTTTAACTAAATAACCCCATTGGATTATCAAGAACTAATTAAATTGTAACTCAAATGAAAAATCTCTATTGAACTCAAATTAATCTAACTAAAAAGTAATTATAAAAAATTTAGTTAATTTAATCATCAATTGAATTAATCGATTCAATTCGATTAATATTTAAAAAAATAATTTAATTGATGGGTTAAAATATTCCATTAACAAAAATTCGATTCAATAGAATTAATCATTTTAAACTCTACGTAAAATAAAAATACGTACTACATGTATATGTTTTGCATGGGGATTATAAACAAATATGGGAAAGTCTCACGTGCTGCAGATTTAATATAAGGTTAAAGAAAGATGTTACTGGTTTTGTTATTATTTTTTAATAAAATCGGTAAAAAATTATCGAAAATATTATTATTTCTATCGGTTTTGTTATTATTAGGCGTTTTACCGGTTTTGTTAACATATATAGTAAAACGCTACTGGTTTTGTTATTTTTTCTACCGCTTTTGTTATTATTTGCACTTTACCGAAAATATTAAAAAACATTAATATTTTAAGTTGAAATAATAATAGTTTAAATAATTTTTTACTGTTTTTATTTTTTAAAAATAAAAAAATCGATATCGTCTTTCCTTAGTCGAATATTAATGTTACGGTACGGTATAACTTACCAAAACAAATACGCAACTCCCAAAGCACAAACATTCTACTCCCACAGTCCCACTCACAACCCTCTCTCTATCTCTCCATTATTTTATAAAGTTAACGGAGCTTTTGGACCCTCTTGAGTTCAAAATTAGGAAGAAAAATGCAGGAACAAATCATAGGAAAAAAATGCAAAATATGACAAGAGAACGGGAGCTAATTTATTTTAACGGTTAAAAGAATTATTATTGTTCTCAAAAGTTATGAGTTCCAACACTAACGAATGTAATAGGAATTAAATCATTTATTGTTAAATAATTAAAAATATTAAGATAAGGATTTTTTTTTGAAAATTATAAGATAAGGAGTCCCAAAGGCTCGTATGACAGTTTTTGTATCCATAACCAATTGCATGGAACCAAATCATTTGTGAACAAGGTAATTGTTCTAAAAAATAATTTAGAATAAGATTTGGGCATGTAAATATATTTATGTATATGTAGTTATTTTTTACACATTTACAAACATAATTAAATAAATAAATAAATATTATTTGTGAATATCGTAAGATAATTCTTTTGGGGTAAACTATATTAATGGTCATTAATTTTGAGTAGTTTTTGTTTTTCCCACATAAATTTCAAAAGTTACAAATTAATTACTAATGTTATCGATTTATAACAAAATGATCATTCTATCGTCATCTCTCTTAAACTGATGATGTGACAATGTTAACAAAAAAGTTAATATTTAGTTTTACCCCTAAACTATTGCTAAGATATCAAATAAGTCCTTACACAATAGTTTTATATCTAATTTATACCAAAAAGTTTCTAATTTTCAAAAAAAAAATCAAATAACCTCCACCATATTCCTCCCCTCCCACCTCATCAGCTCCCACACCTTAAAAGAATGCGTGCTCATATAGAAGCATTTATATTGAAGTTTATTTCGCACGTATGACATAAAAATAAAAGTCCAGAACAAAGCCAGTGGTGCATATTGCTCGTCATTATATTATACTTGACAGAGAAAACTGTGCATGGAATTGGCTAGAAGAATTTGTCTATTATATCAACCATGCAAATACTATATATAGCCTCTGCCTGATTCTGGTGTTGTGGGTGTTCTAATTCACTGCTTCTCTTACATTCCTCAGCGGCAGCGTGCCATTACATAGGAAGAAGAACAGCACTCACAAGTCACGCCCCTATATAACTAAAATCGATGCACACAAAAAGGAGAGATCTCCCTTTCTTTCCTCAATCATCTAATCCTAATTTTTACTTGGTTTTTTAATGCAAAACATTCGTTCCCAACCCCATGCTTTCCGTTAATGCTTCTAGTCTTAAACGTCTCCCTCAAAAACAGCCATTACAAAAGAGAAAAAAGAACAGAAAATAAAATAAACAAAAGGAGAAAACCCATTTATTAATATCAAATGTAACTACAGAACACTACAATATTCTCGATGCTGTTGAGAATACCACATTACATACATTCCTGTTCTATACCATAGAACATATACATGTCATGTTAGAACATACATTCATATCTCTAACTCATCGTGAGTTTAACAAACAAAAGACTCCCGAATCAACCTAAGAATTTAAATAGCGTAAACGTATGCACACAAGTAACATTACGTTACACTGTCCTACATGGTTGTGATGAAACAATTATATGATTTGTATGCATGTGAGTGGTTTAGACAAACTGATAGAGAAGTAGGACCCAAGGAATTCCTTACAACAACAAATAATCCAAAACTCCCAGCTGTTTATTCTTTTTCCCCAGTGAGTATTTTTCTCAGCCTTCTCCGGTCAAAAAGCGTCTTCTCTACCTTTGTTGGCCTAAAAAGACATACAAAGGGGTCACCAAATTATTTGAATGCAAAGCATTTCTGAAATGCTAGAAAAGGAGTGTTTGAATGAAAGTGAGAGGGGAATATATGCAGTTTCTTAGACCGTCCCCAGCTATAACGGTTAAGCTTTGTTTAAAGAAGCTTCAAGCATATATATAAAACAAAATCCAAACCCCGAATATTTCATGGTAATCTTTGTTTGGAACACTAAAAGAGATACGGGTCTCAAAGTGAAAGTTAAGAGGGATACCTTTTCTATTCATTACCTGTCAAAGCCTTTAATTTTTTCCTCAAGGGAACACATTGCATTGGAGCTAAAATGCTTTTTTGTATTAGAGGGATAACTTTTAAAACTTTAGGAACGACTGATTTATAAAATTTCAGGAAGGGCGAAAACATATTTTAATTGAAAAAAATTTAAAATATAAAATAATTTTAATTTTTGGGGGAATTACCCCACCTACTTCCCTTGATGGATCCCTGATATATACACATATATTATTGTTTTACTTTAAGAAAAATACTCTCTCGTAAAAGCAAATATGAAAAGTAAAATATGGCATTATCTACTCAAAAGGGCCACTGGTTTTATGCTTTTAAGCTTCAAATAAGCATCTTTTGATCTATACGTGGCCATGTGGAAGAAAGCAATATCCAGAGGAACAAAACCCTCTAAAAGAGAAAGGGAATTGTTAAATAGTGTTTCATTGTGGCCGCCCAAAACTTTAAAGGTTTTAACAGTGAAGAAATTTCTCTCTTTAAAAAAAGTTGTTTTAATTTTGACATGACATCTTTGTTAATGTAAACGCCTAAAAGGTAATGGAATTACGCACGACCGTTATTAACGAGTAGAGTAGATCACTTAATGAGTAGTTCGAATTTGATTCGATAAATACTCGACTTGAGTTGGTTTGATTTGAATTTGAACTCGACTCGAGACTTCAACGAGTTGAGCCGAACAAAGTCTAACTCGACTTGATAAGTTCACGAACAACTCGTTAATTTTTTAAAATATATTTTTAGTAATTACTTCAAAAATTATTTCATTCAAAAAATAAATCTAAATAATAATTATTAATTTATTAATAAATAATAAAAAATAATAAGTTAACTAATCTATTAGTTTTTAATAAGTAATAAACTAATCTATTATTTTTTAATAAATAATAAAAAATAATAAGTTAACTAATCTATTAGTTTTTAATAAATAATAAACTAATCTATTATTTTTTAATAAATAATAAAATATTATTAATTATAATATTATTTTAATTCAAAATAAACACAACTCTAATATTCTCATATAGTATTAGTAAATTTTATTTTTAGTTAAAAAAATAAGATAATTTTTTTAGTGAGCTTAACGAGCAACAAGTCAAGTCGAACAGTAATATTTTTTAACGAGCATAAATCAAACATTATCTAACTCACGATCGACTCGCTCGATAACCATCTCTATGTGCCACACACTCCTTTTCTAACAAGTTCTCATTATTTTATAATCACTCATATCCTCTGCAAAAATTATTACCTATATTATTTTTTATGAAAAAATTATAAGAAAATTAAGAATTGAATTTAATTTCACTATACTTTGAATAACCCTAATAATCCTATTTTTAGTTTTTTTTTTAATTCTCTGCACTAGCGAAGAGCTCGAACTGAATAAATTCTTGCTGCTTCTTGATTTGCACACGGAATTTCTCGTGTCTTTCGCCTGAAATGAACATACAATAAAAGTATCGTACAACAGCAGGACAACCTCAACTATATATTCTTCGAGGAGCATTTGTCGATTTAAACCGACAAAACTGACTCCCTCAACTAATTTGATTTGATTTAGGATATTTAATCAACTTTTGGGTTATGAGATTAACTTTGTTGGTTATTTCTATTATCAGTTTAGAATTTTCAAAACTAGTCCAACCAAAAAAATAATATTTTTTTATTAAAATACATAAGTTGATTAAATATTTTATATTACATATATATTATTTATATAAATAAAGTCGGTTAAATAATTAATTGAATTGGTTAGCTTTAAGTTGGGTTTAATTGTACACTAGTTTCGCAGATGTTTTGAAAAATAACACTTTCAAAAGTGTTGTAGAAAATAAATTTTAAAAGTATTATTTAAAAGTGTAGTTTAAAATTTATTTGCTTGAGATTGTTGTTAAAAATGAATTTGAAAAAATAAAATGTTCATTATAACATTATGTTAATATTAAATTATTGAAATAAAACGTAAATATATAATTGAGCGGAGCTCATGCATTAGTAAAGGTAAAATTATAATTTACTTCCAAAAGTAAAGTTGAAAATAAAAATGGCTAGAAATCCTAACTTTTGCGGTTAGTTTGAAACTACCGTTTCCACCGTATTTTCTTTTATTTTTTATATCCTTTTGACTTTGATTTTGTGGTCAAAATGGACATTTTAACTAAAAATGCTTTTATAAAACCACACCAAACAGGGACTGTGTTTGTTTAGAGTATAAAATTTGATCGGATTGATTTTTGTAGGTTTGATCGGAAAACCAACAGACCCAACTGAAAAAACCACTCCCCCTTGATTACGTCCATTGTGTTGGTTTCGTTTTTCCTTGATTGAACTTCTCAAAATGATCTTTAAGAACATGTGTCATGCAACGTTACTTTATGCTCGTACATGAATATATCAGGCATAACCTCATATAAATGAACAGTCTATTAACTTGCTAAATGAGTTAAAACTATGTGATTGTTCCTAAACTTTAGTCCTGAGCAAACTTCATTACAAAGAACTATGGATTTATTTGGTAAATGGTGAATTTAGATATATGAACATAAGATTCCGCATAGTTTGATTATGACTGATGCACCTTTTGATGTCATGCAAAGCTGGAAATGCTTTGCAAGGAATAAGGGAATAGAGCGAGAGCGAGCGAAGTTGACGCACCGTGCACATGGAAAACTGCAGACGAGGAGAGTGGTACAATAGCTGCACTCCTGAAGATGATAAGACAGGAAATGGATTTTGATATGAGATGCTTTGTACAAGGCAGTAAGCCCAAAAAAAAAGCACATGTTCACAAAAAAAAAAAGATATGGATAATCTATTCAAGCATACATCAAAATCATGAGAAAAGATAGAAGGAAGGGATCTCTTATTTCTAAATGAAGTGGGTTAAAAAGGGAAAGGAAGACGACCAAAAGAGTAAATGGGAGCAGCTAATTTTCTAATTCACAATGCCATATTTACTTGTGCTTTAAAACATGTCAACTACACACAGCAACCAATAATAATGCCTAAAGAACAAAATAACATTCTTCGACTGTTGACAGTCATCTCATCTGTACTGGATTTTTTTTCCACTTTAGAAAAAAATTAATATATATATATATATAGAAAACACCTTTTCCTTTGCAAAATTAAACAGATTTCTTAGTTGAACCAACCTGCTTGATAATGAAAATTCATTCTTTTTAGTTAGCAGGCAAACCTAGAACTCAGGCTGGAGCTTTAGTCGCCTCGGCTATCCATATTTTTTCCTAGATAATCTTCCTGAAGCAGTGGAGCAAGCGTGCTCTCAACAGAGGACCTCTGCTTACTAGTCTCTTCAAGAATCAATAACTGAGCTGTCTCACAAGCCTTAGCACTATGGAAACCGAGTGTCCATCTCCCATCGGGAGGGGGATTGGAAACCTTAGATTGGTTGCCTCTAGCTTTAAAAAAATCTGGATCAAAATCTCTTATCCGAAGATGTAACCATGTCGGGTGGTCCTCGTCTATCTTTGGCTGGTTCAAGTGAAGAGGGAAAGAAACAACATTTCAATGTTATCAGAGAATCAACTATTCAATTCAGGCTTCAAGTATCTAAAAGAATCAAAGCCTTTTCATTGATTGCTTATGTCAAACAACACAATCATTCCGCAAGGCGAAGTTGCGGTCCATTACAAATCAATATACTCTGTTAATAACAAACCAGATTCATCCAATGTATAAAATGAAAATTCAAATTCAATTGGCTTAGCCGTCTCGACCACGATTTTTCTTTTTCACCTGGCATTTCATTTAGCATAAGAAATTTTATTGATAGAAAGGTATTGAAAAAATAAAAGGATAGTAACTAATGTTGGTTTTTGGCAAAAGTCCCACATTGGTTGTGTATAAGGAGGAGGGGAAATTCTTTTGTTATAAATAAAGCCCTCCTCCTCCTTAGTTAATCATCCCACAAATATAAGCCTTCTTCTATTTTAAAGGCTATTTGTATTCTTTCTCTCTTTGTAATATTTCCTCTATTAGTGAAATATTTTGGTGTTCTCTTTTATGTCTATTTAATAGCTATTGTCGGGTATAGTTGTTGTCAATTATTGTCCTATTAAAATTACTTGTCTTGGTAGTTCTGTCTAAGGAAAGTGGGTTTTAAGAGGGACCATTGTGACCCCTCCTCTTTCCTGGGAATCTACCTTGGGGTGATTTTTAGTACAATCGTTTTCACACTAGTCACCTAGATAATAGTTTTCACGGTGAATCTGTTATTGGTGGAAATTAACCCGAATTTCACAACAATTGGTATCAGCGCTCTTGGTTTATTTTAGTATGCTCTGTGGTTGCGGCTTAGGCTGATCTTCCACATCAGAAAAATTTCCTTGGGATAATTGACATTCTGCATTGGCAGCTATTAAATAGAATTTGTAGCAGAAATGGCAGACGCTTCTTCATCTTCAATTTTGGCAAGAAATGCTGTGACAAATGTTAGATTTGCAGTGGAGATTTTTGATGGCACCGGTCATTTCGGCATGTGGCAAAGCGAGGTTCTAGATGCCCTATTTCAGCAGGGTCTAGACATTGCTATTGAAGGAGAGAAACCAGATGATGTTGAGGAGAAAGAATGGAAGAGGATCAATAGAATGGCATGTGGTACTATTCGATCGTGTCTTTCTAGAGAGCAGAAGTATGCATTTTCTAAGGAAACTTCTGCAAGTAAATTGTGGAAGGCACTGGAGGAGAAATTTTTGAAGAAAAGCGGTCAGAACAAACTCTACATGAAAAGAGACTGTTCCGCTTCAACTATGTACCAGGTACCACTATGAATGATCACATTACTAGCTTTAATCAGCTGGTGACTGATCTGATGATATGGACGTGACTTTTGAAGACGAAGATCTGGCTCTGATGTTGATGGGATCACTTCCTGATGAGTTTGAGTATCTTGAAACTACTCTACTTCATGGGAAGGTTGATGTGTCTCTCAGTGAAGTAACTGCTGCCTTGTATAGTTATGAATGAGAAAGAAAGACAAACAAGAAAACACAAGTGTCGAAGCAGAAGCTCTTGTTGTTAGAGGCCGTTCCAAGAGTCAGAATAAAGGAAGCAGAGGGAGATCGAAGTCAAGTCCAGATTGAGCAAAGATGAATGTGCCTTTTGTCGAGAAAAAGGGCACTGGAAGAAAGAATGTCCCAGGCTAAAGAATAAAGGCAAACCTGAAAGGGGGAAGGCTGTCTCAGAATCAAATGTGGTCGAGTATGATGATGGAGATTCAGATTTCGCATTCGCTGCTACGCCATCAACCAGCTGTTCCAGTTCATGGCTGTTAGATTCAGCTTGTAGCCACCATATGACCCCCAATAGAGAATGGTTCTTTGATTTTAAAGAACTAAAAGGTGGAATTGTCTACACAGCAAATAATTCCCCTCTTGACACACTTGGGATTGGTTCAATTCGCTTGAGGAATCAGGATGGATCAATCAGAACCTTAACAGGTGTCCATTATGTACCAGATTTAATGAGAAATCTCATCTCTGTGGGAACCTTAGAGTCAAAAGGTTTAGAAGTGAGGGCAAAAGATGGGATTATGAGGATTATCTCTGGTGCACTGGTGATAATGAAGGGAATCCGAAAAAGAAACAATGTGTATTACTTTCTGGGTAGTACAATTGTTGGGACAGCAGCAGTGGCAGCTTCTACTGATGAACAGGAGTCAGAAGCAACCAGGTTATGGCATATGCGCTTGGGGCATGTTGGTGAAAAATCCTTGAAATTACTGATAGATCAAGGATTATTGAAGGGTGCTCGGGCTTGCAAATTAGCTTTTTGTGAGCATTGCATCAAAGGGAAGAAGACGAGGGTGAAATTTGGAACAGCAATCCATGATACTAAAGGTATTTTGGATTATGTTCATTCAGATGTATGGGGGCCTTCCAAGACAACTTCATTGGGAGGAACACACTATTATGTCACCTTTGTTGATGATTTTTCCCGGAGAGTTTGGGTGTATCCAATGAAGACAAAGGATGAGGTGCTAGGATTTTTTCTTAAATGGAAAAAGATGATGGAGACTCAAACAGGCAGAAAAATCAAACGTCTCCGTACAGACAATGGTGGAGAGTACAAAAATGATCCATTTCTGAAAGTCTGTGAAGAGGAAGGTATTGTTAGGCACTTCACTGTCAGAGGTACACCACAACAGAATGGAGTGGCAGAGCGTATGAACCGGACATTAGTGGAGAAGGTTCGGTGTATGTTGTCTAATGCTGGGTTAGGCAAAGAATTTTGGGCTGAGGCTTTGGTCTATGCTTGTCACCTTATCAACCGCTTACCATCGACTGCTATTGGTGGTAAAACACCATTAGAGAAATGGTTTGGAGTACCTGCTACAGATTATGATTCCTTACATGTGTTTGGTTCCACTGCATACTACCATGTTAAGGAGTCAAAGCTGGATCCAAGAGCAAAGAAGGCGATTTTTATGGGGATCACCTCTGGTGTGAAAGGCTATCGTCTTTGGTGTCCAGAAACAAAGAAAATAATCTTCAGCAGGGATGTTACCTTTGATGAATCTACCATGTTGAGAAAGGTGACTTCAGAAAAATTGGAGCAGACAGATGGAACTCCCAAAAAGGTGGAGTTTGAAGGAAGCAAATTTGTCCCAACCAGTAAAGAAAATGATGTTGACTCTCCTATGGTAGAAGAAGAGTCAGATGAAGAAGAGGTTCAGACCCAAGAACCTCCACAGCAACATGAATCAATTGCACTCAGAAAGGGAAAGAGGACCATTAGACAACCTGCTCGTTATGCTGATATGGTCTCTTTGCATCACCAATTGCAATTGATGACGTTCCTGCCACTTTTAATGAAGCAGTTCAAAGTTCAGAACATAAAAAGTGGAGGATTGCCATGAATGAAGAAATGCAATCCCTTCAAAAGAATCAGACGTGGAAACTAGCTAGTCTTCCGAAGGGAAAGAAGGCAATTGGGTGCAAGTGGGTATATGCAAAGAAAGATGGATTTCCTGACAAGAATAACATCCGCTACAAAGCAAGATTGGTGGCTAAAGGCTACGCTCAAACGGAGGGAGTTGATTATAATGAAGTATTTTCTCCAGTTGTAAAACATTCCTCCATCAGAATTTTGTTGGCTTTGGTAGCGCAGTTGGATTTGGAACTAGTTCAGATGGATGTAAAAACTGCATTTTTACATGGAGACTTGGATGAGGAAATCTACATGACTCAGCCAGATGGATTCAAAGTTGCTGAAAAAGAAGAGATGGTGTGCAAATTAGAAAAATCGTTGTACGGATTGAAGCAATCTCCAAGGCAGTGGTACAAGCGATTTGACAAGTTTATGATAGGGCAGAAGTACACAAGAAGCAAATATGATCATTGTGTGTATTTACGCGAGCTAGAAGACGGATCCTATATATATCTTCTTCTTTATGTTGATGATATGCTGATAGCTTCCAGGAGTCAGACAGAAATTGCGAAACTAAAGACTCAATTGAACAAGGAGTTTGAGATGAAGGATCTTGGTGAAGCGAAGAAGATTCTAGGCATGGAGATATCAAGGGATAAGAAATTGGGGAGGCTTTGTTTGTCTCAGAAAGAATATCTGAGGAAGGTACTAAAACGTTTTGGCATAAATGAGATGTCAAAACCAGTTAGTACACCTCTTGCTCCTCATTTCAAGCTCGGTGCATCCATGTCACCTAAGGATGATGCAGAACGGGAATACATGTCAAAGGTTCCGTATGCAAGTGCTGTTGGTAGCTTGATGTATGCAATGGTGTGTACGAGACCCGATATTTCACAGGCAATTGGGGTTGTGAGCAGGTATATGCATGATCCTGGAAAGGAGCATTGGCAAACTGTGAAATGGATTCTGCGGTATATTCTGAACACCGTAGATGTTGGTTTGGTCTTTCAGCAGGACAAACAAGATGGTCAGTGTGTAGTTGGGTATTGTGATTCAGACTATGCAGGTGATTTGGACAAGCGTCGATCAACTACTGGTTATGTGTTTACATTTGCAAAGGCACCAGTCAGTTGGAAGTCCACCTTACAGTCAACAGTGGCTTTGTCTACTACAGAGGCAGAGTATATGGCAGTTACAGAGGCTGTGAAGGAGGCAATTTGGCTTCAAGGGTTGCTTGGTGAATTGGGAATGGAACAAAAGCACATCAAAGTGCACTGTGACAGTCAGAGTGCTATTCATTTAGCAAAGAACCAAGTTTACCATGCAAGGACGAAGCACATCGATGTTCGATATCACTTTGTACGAGAGATTCTAGAAGAAGGTGGAGTCATAATCCAGAAGATTCGGACCACTGAGAATCCTGCTGATATGTTGACAAAAGTGGTAACTGCGGTCAAGTTTAAACATTGTTTAGATTTGGTCAATATTGTTACAAATTAAAAGATTGTTTTTTTTTAGAGATGTGTGTGGAATTTGCCAAGGTGGAGATTTGTTGGTTTTTGGCAAAAGTCCCACATTGGTTGTGTATAAGGAGGAGGGGAAATTCTTTTGTTATAAATAAAGCCCTCCTCCTCCTTAGTTAATCATCCCACAAATATAAGCCTTCTTCTATTTTAAAGGCTATTTGTATTCTTTCTCTCTTTGTAATATTTCCTCTATTAGTGAAATATTTTGGTGTTCTCTTTTATGTCTATTTAATAGCTATTGTCGGGTATAGTTGTTGTCAATTATTGTCCTATTAAAATTACTTGTCTTGGTAGTTCTGTCTAAGGAAAGTGGGTTTTAAGAGGGACCATTGTGACCCCTCCTCTTTCCTGGGAATCTACCTTGGGGTGATTTTTAGTACAATCGTTTTCACACTAGTCACCTAGAT